CGACGACGACGTCGACGACGACGACGACGGTCACAAGATACACAATATTGTCGCGAATGAAAAGTCGCTGACTAGTGTCGCACAATGTTCCATTAATTCGTTGGCCAAGAGTATCAGTCAACATTCTCTAGGTGAGGAAAGGTGGAAACAGCAACGTGGTGGTTTGCCATTACCGGGACTGTGTCGTAGCGCGACACAGGTGATAGCGTCGATAGAGACGAGTGAGACACCGAGCGTGAGTATCGCGGATCGGTTGGCCGCGCTACGTCACAACGGCAGCACGAACTGGAAACGACGTGTGGCCGGTGCCAGAGTTGACGAATCGTGCGACGATGACTCGCCACTCACTTTGGAGGAGAGCACAATCAAATCGGGCGTGCTGGCCGACTGTATCGAAAAATTGGAATCTGCCGTGGATAGCTGGAAGAGTAGAATCGTAGAACCCGATGCGGTCAATTTCACTGTCGCTGGCAAAATGAAAATAGCTCCATCGAAAGATGTTTGTTCGCCGTTCCTTACGGAAGCCACGGCGAACATTTCAAATCAGAAGAAAAAAGCTCCGCGTCCGCAGTGGTTGAAAATGAGGAAAGATAAAGGTGAGCCTTTTTATATCCGCACGAAATAGAATGACGATTAAAACAACCATTTCCTTACAAGATCTGCCAAAGATCTGTAGGTCTGTCTTGTTTTAAATGTCTAGTGACATAAATATTTTAAGTATCTGGAGGACATTTTAAAGACGTTATATTTCAGATATATCTGTACGATATTCTTTAGACATTCATGTTACTTAAGGCTCCTTTTTACAAGTGTTCTTTTTTTTTTTTAAACGATCCTATTTCTTTTATCGTATCCAAATTTTCTTTATTTACAAATGACATGCAATAAACTTTTACGTGTCATTTCTCGCTTGTGACGTTACGATTCCAATGGCTGCGGTGACTAGTCAGAAGCCTTAATAAAAGATATCAAAATTAGTTTCTGCTTTGTATTAAGATGAGAGCAATTAAATTAAAAGCCAGCATCTTTTCAGAGCGTACTAATGATGCGGAATCGAGCCCTGCCAGTCCGTGCAAGGAGTCATCTTCTGCCACGCATACAAGCTTCTCTGAACCTAGCGACGACAGCGGTGAGTTAGTAGTGAAAGTCATTCGTACTTTTTCATCTTGCTGATAACCCGCGCTGTCCCAAAAAGAGATGCTGATAGAATAGAAGAATATACATATAGAAAATGTTTGCTAATTGCAATATCTTCCTTTAGCTTCAATGAAATTATATTTCACATTATACTGTATAAGCTGTCTTCTGGGACACTCGTGGTGAGATCGCGACAGTGCAAACGCATGTTTTTCTTTTAATTGAGAGATGTATTTAGTGAAATTAGTTTATTATAATTTGTAGGTGAAGAATGTAAAACGGAGCATGTCTTGTCGCCAAGTGTTTCAGTACCTAAAACGGACGATGAAACGTTTACATCTTTCTTTAGCGGTGTGTCGCTGGAAAAATGCGAGACTGAGTGTCTTGACTTAGATGAAAGCGACTTCGATATAATCGCACCACAATACAAATTGTAAATTTTCGCTTTTACTACACTTTTACTATGCTTATACTCGTGCAAAAATGAAAGAGGGGAAAAAAATAGAAAAGCAGAAAGAAGTCGATTCAGAGAACTATTCAAAATATTGGTACGCGTTTATGCAAATTTAGCTATAATCTAAATCATTTTCTTGACAGATTAGTACAAAAGCGGAATATACAAATGCAACGTCGACGAGCCACCGCAAGAAATCCTCTTAAAGTTCTTGCTGCACGTACGGATTTGAGATCAGAATACACCGAGATTCGCACCAATACAACCGCGAGAATGACGACGAACTTAAATATGAGACAATGTGAGCAATCCTCTGTCACATCTTATATTAATCATGACGTAGATTTTATCTTCGCATATATTTCGAATTATAAGTATATAATTAAAATTTTCAATTCTTCTTACATATGTCTTTGATATTCCGTAGTTGCCCAAAGCTCATCTTTTGCCATTGAGGCTCTCGCTGGCTTGGCTTCTACTGAAGATTTTAGTACGGTGACTCTGAGAAACGTGTCGGAAGCAAGCGTGTCCACGAATAAATTGCGACCATATAAAGACATAATGTTGTTATTGATTAAAGGAAGACGACACGTTCAAGTTAGATTAATCGAACCTGTCGCCGAGAGTATCAACAATGGCGATAGTTATATACTGGTAACAAAATTAGAGGTAATGATAATCATAAGTATCGGAGAATAGAACATGTAATACATTAGCCGATGTAAAACATCGCTCATACATTTATTCTTTACTATTCTTTCTCCTTTATTAATTATTAATCACTGACAAAACTGACTTTCTCAATGAATTTTGCAGATTTTTAACTATATAGGAAAATACAGCAATATTATCGAAAAAACTCGTGCCGCTGAGATCGCATTGAGTATTCAACAACAAAAGGATCTAGGCTGTCAAGCAGTCCAAGTAATCACTATAAACGAGGATAAACTGACTTGCTCGAGGAATCAAGTTGAAAAATTTTGGAGTTACCTTGGTGTGGTTAACATCGAAAGGCTAAACGGTATGTTTCTATTTTTGCTTTCTATTTTTGCAGTGTACGATATTATTATTCTACAATTATGTATGTGTGTGTACATTAATGTCTTACAATAATATCACTATAGTTGTGGAGGCTGGCCATCCTGACGAAGATGAATTGTACGAATCTGCCATTATCGATACAAATATGGTGTACGAATTGAAAGATGAACAATTAGTGTTACACGAAAAATTCTGGGGTACGCTTCCAAAGATAGAAATGCTTAATAAGAATAAGGTAATTTTTGATGAATCTTTTTAATCTTAAAGTGATGCTGGCGCAACAGCCGAATTCATCATTCATAAAATTGCAATGTTTTATTTTTTTGGCCTTTGCCTAATTTAATTTTAAGCTTTATTTATACACCTATATAGTTTGCAGTTTTTAAAACATCTCGATTTTGCGCATGTTTAAACAATAAATTTGAACTGCTTTCTCTCTCTCTCTGTCTCTAAAATTTTCTGTCTCTAGAATTTTTCGAGATATCGATTTAAATTTTAATACACGTTAAAAGAAAAATGAAAGTATAGAGAGTAAAATATTGTGAGAAACCAATTGCTTTTGTTTAAAAAGATTAAGTCTTCTGGAATTCTTATAAATGTAATTCATGCAAGAACTTGTCAGCATAAAAAATTGTTAAGCTAAAAACAATTTTTGATAAGACTAGTACATAACAGGCGCGCGCTGCGTATTGAATCCCATACATCTTCCAATAACATTTATACTAATTTACATTTTAATTAAACAAATTTTAACAATTTTTGATAAAAAATAAATTTTCAAATAAAATGACGCTTGCGCGCGGTGCGTATTAACCGGCTGGCCTGAAAATAATCGCGTTTTATAGTTGAATATTTAATATATAACAACTATTTTGTATAATAAGAGAGGAATTATATATTGTATGCGTTTTTGATGCCTTATAAAGATTCTGGTGTTCGATTTTGGCACTGAGATGTACATTTGGAGCGGCAAAGGAATTTCGGCGGACAAGAAGAAGCTTGCTACACAGTTGGCGACAGAAATGTGGAACAATGGATATGATTATAGCGAGTGTAGCGCTTGTCCGATTATTGCGGCCCATATGATTGGTAATCGGAACAATGATTTGCGCTCGTTCGCAAAATTCGCCAAAAATAGACCCGAATGGTGTTTACTGGCCAAGTTGACGCAACACGTCGAAACAATATTATTCCGTGAGAAATTCCTCGATTGGCCTAATGTCACCGGTGCAGTAAAGACGCGAGGTCGGAACGATAATGAGCGACAAATCGACGGTGCAATAACAGTGCATTTGGATGAAAACGATGATATGTGGCTACCAAATTCTACTTCAGTCGATTTTATTCTAGAAGGCTGTCATTTGGGCAGAGGCACTGGTTGTTACGATAATGAAGTAAGTTTGTTCTTTTATTAGAGCATGACCAAAAGTAGACTTTCTGTCCAGTATAATTGATAATTGAAAAATTAAGATACTTATTAGAGTTTCAAAATAATTTACATTTATCAAATTCTCAATCATTGCTTTCAATGCACTTTCAATGCACTTTTATCCAGAAAAAAAGACGAACTCTATTTATAATCAATCTTCGATTCACATGGTGAATCTAATTAATAATTTCATTCGATTTTTTTTAGTTGAAGAAAGAATATGTTGTTGCTACAACGAGCGTTTTGGTGTGGCATATCGATGAATTCTCGCATACGCTTCTAGACGGATCATCCATTGGTCAATTTTATTCTGGTGATAGTTATATCATTCATTGGACGTATTCCGTCACAATTACTGGTGAGCTGTTTTAACGTTTATTGAATAATTTCGAAATTGAAGAACTTATCTCAAAAACTGTCTTAAATTCGTCACATTTTCTAAAAATAAGCACAACATTTTTCTTTTTTTTCTTTTGCATTAGTTTTGCATAACACGTACCTAATCTTTATTTTTAAGAATATAGATTTAAGATTAAGTATAGATAAACTTTTTAATTATGTAATAACTTTTACACTTGTTCATTATGTCCCTAGGCAGAGAACTCAGTGGTTTGCCGTCCAAGCACTCGGCAAAAGGTCGCGATAGATCTGTATACTTTATTTGGCAAGGTCGAAATGCATCCTTGAATGAACGAGGTGCCGCGGCATTATTAACGGTTGAATTAGACAGCAGTCGAGGTCCTCAGGTATGAGGACAGTAAATGTGCAATCAAATTTGCTATTTCAATTATTTTTTATTTACTTGAAATTATCTTAATATAGATTATTACAATATTGACTATGTTATTATGTAATTTTACTTGTTAATAGTAATTTCATATGTCTTTTCAAATTTTGGACTTTGCAATTATGTTTTCTAATTGGGAAACTCTTTTTCCTACAACGTCTATTAAAAGTAAAATATTGGACAAAATTAAGAAATATATTTTATATGCTTGCAGATTCATGTTGTTCAAGGACATGAACCAGCTGCATTCTTAAATTTATTCTCTGGAAGGATGGTGGTACACAGTGGCAAGAAATCTGACAATGAGAAAAAATGTGAGAAACGATGGAGATTGTACATTTGCCAAGGAACTTTAGAAAACGAGACATTTTTGATTGAAATTCCTTGTAGTACGCGACAATTAAGAAGTAGAGGTTCCTTTATATTGCTCGACACCGAAAATGCAAGACTATATGTCTGGCATGGGAACAATTCGTTGCGCCATATCAGAGAAGTATATTTTTTCTAAAGATTTTTATGATAGTATATTTATACATAATTTAATTAATAATTTGTACATGGATAAAGATCTTAACATTGCGATAGGTTTCATAGTTTACTAGCTATTAAGCTTGAATAACATATAAAAAATGAAAGCAGTAAACGAATCGATTAACCACAGAAATCTGAAAAAAAGTTAAGTTTAAGAATATAAAATTATTATTTATTTATTAGAGATCTGTTAAAATCATGATTATTTTCATCTACTATTTATAGTAGAATGAGTAATCATTCTACTATAATTTTTCATGTGACTTTTCCCTTTATCATCTTGATTGCTTCCCTTTCTTTTCTTTTTATTATTTACCTGTCTATCATTCCTATATTTCTTTGTCTTTGTATAGAATGCATTAAAAGCTGCAAATAAATTGAAAGAAAACCAACCCGAAGAAGCTGGATTATCCAACGAAAATAACATACAAATATATGAAGTTCAAGAAGGTTTGGAACCTGAGGGATTTAGTAATGGTAAATAAAGTTTATAGTGAAAAGTTAACATTCAACATTAAAAGGATGCAAAAGCGGAAATCAAACTCTAAAACGTTTTATCGATTTATGCATACGTATGCGTACGATATTGATGTAGTAGTGTATAGTGATGTGTTATTTACTGCTACGTCAATATCACACGCACAAATTTTCAGATCTTTTTTTATTAAATATCTAAGTCTAATTCTAAAAGCAAAACTTTGTATTATCGTGTAATCCACATTTAAAATTGTTCCTATTTGATACAAATGCACTGCAGAATTTTTGTAGTAAGCAAATATTTGGTTTCAACAAATTGACAATTCTAGATGCCATATGGGACTAAGAGTAGATAAAAAAAGATCTTAATTTCTTAATTTTTTTTTTCATTTTTGGCATAAAGTCGATCGGTTTAATTTAACACATTAGTGTTTATACTTTAATTGTGAAAAAGGATTTTTAAATCTGTAAAGGCAGTTAGAAAGCAGTTAGGAGGGGTGCAGAAAAATAATTCTGTTTGGTCAGTAAAATAAACGACTTTAGAATCCCCTTAATGATTGAGACGTGTATATATATATATATATATATATATATATGTATATGTTTTTAAAATTTATTTTCCTATTGTAAAATTGTATATTGTTATAAAAAATTTAAAGAATATACTTTGTTTTTAGCGTTAGGTGGCATAAATAAAAAATTGTATTGGTCGTTAGAAACAGCTGACATACAAGATTATACTCCAAAGCTTTATTATTTATCCAGTATTTCTAAAAAATTCCGCGCAACGGAAATACTTTGTCCATATCGTTGTCCGGATCTGACAACACCGTTTCCTTTCTCACAAGATGATTTGTACCAAGCGAATCAACCAGGTAAAGATGCTTTTAGAAACGCATTTTTATTTTAATAGCTTTTTTTCATGAGAAAACTTTTTATGAAAAGTTTTAGCAAAATTATTTATCCGTATTATTGTAAGCATTTTTATATCGAATCTTGCAATTTTTAGCCTTATTTTTATTGGATGACAAGAATGTGATTTGGATTTGGCAAGGATGGTGGCCTGATAATGGAACGGAAGATCAGTACGGAAGCAAAACTGTCCGATGGCAAGCTGAGAGGAGAGCGGCAATGACGATAGCGATACGATATTGGCGAAAGACTCGAAGCGCACAAACAACGAATCTTCCAATTTATTTAATATGGGCTGGTTTAGAACCGTTACAATTTACAAATCTTTTCCCGGAATGGACGTATCGGGACGACGTTGCTGAATTAAATATAGAGGTATATTGAAACGGACATTTCCTATTTCCTTGGCTGCTCAAATCTTTTTGTATTTTATTACTAGAGGTAACTTGAAAACAATAACAAACTGTCTTCATTTATATTAGAATATTTGAAATGTAAATAAAAAAGAAAAATCCTTTGATATATCTTGCGATCGTGCGATTTAATATAATCTTTAGATATGCATATACAACGTATAATATACATTTAAACATATCAGGATGGCCGGAATCCAGGAGAAGTATTAACCGTGGAAAATGAATTGGCTCGCCTAACACAAAGTACATATCCTCCTGCTCAGCTGTTACAAAGACCTTTACCTGACGGGGTCGATCCAACCCGTCTAGAATTGTATTTATCCCAACAACACTTTCAAGTTAGTATTATACTATTATTGCAGTATTGTAGACTAAGTGCAGTTAAATAATCATATCTATACGAATGTAGATTGTCAGAAATGAGGAAAAATATATATTTTTATGATATTTTACCATAACTTTGGTTCATTCAACATATAATTTTTTTTCTACGTGTTTCTACACTGCTAATACTAAACAAAAAACTACACAAGTTAAATTGAAGGTGGTCCAGTAAGAAACATATTACTTGTCAATAGAGGATGTATAAATTATATTTTGTGGTTTATAGGAGCTGCTGGGAATGAGCAAGGAAAAATTTCAACAACTTCCAGTTTGGAAGCAAGTGAATCTCAAGAAAGATATAGGATTGTTCTGATGGATCGTTTTAACTGCGATTAGCAGTAGCTGCCCTTGCATAATGTTCGAATTTTTATTAATTGTTTCATAATTCTACAATTTAAGAATCAGAAAAAAGTCTCAACTTCTAAGCGTATTTTTCTCGGAACTTTTTGTGTATAGAGAATGAAACATTTCGAGAAACATTTTGAGAATCGGTGAATATATTGTCGACGATATATATCTAATAATTAATTAATTTAAAAAGAATCAATGCGAATCAATCCGAAAATGTATTGTCAGTACTATTTGAATTATAACGCATATGTATGATATATAATAAGCGTATGTGAACACAGATTATATATTTTTAATACGTGCTACATGCGAAATCTGCTTGCAAACATTTTCTTTATAATATATTTGTATGATGTTTATATATTGCGAGTGAATTGTCGCTGTTTTCGCCTTAATCGTGTAATATCTGTATAAGATGGTTTCTATAATTTACAATATATTCTGCATTTTTAAATAGTATTTCACAAAAAATATAATTGCAATCTTTCTTTCCTCATCTTTATACAAGGGGTGGTATTTTAGAACAAAATAGATATTTCCATCATGTTTGAATATATATAAAAAAGCAACAATCAACATTATTCAATTTCAAAAGAGCAACAAGATAGTATAAAAACTGATGATAATGTCCCAATTTTGAAGATCATAATCGTAATGTATAATTTGTTTAAATTAAGAATAATCGTAATATTTTCTTAAATATATGTATATTAAACATTTTATTAAAGAATTAAAAAAAAATACTTTGTACATAAAGAAACTTTCGTAGCATAAGTTAAAAGAAATTTGCTGTTTTTATACAAACGTATTTTTATCATCTGGATTATAGTAAAACTAAAAACTATTAAAAAGAAAAAAAACCAATTGGCACATGTGTGAAAAGGAAAAATTATGTACAAGATGAACATTTTTGTTACAAGACGTTCATTGTAGCGGCACAATAGCTTGAGATTAAAAATATATAAAATAGCTTTTAATTCTTCACAACTGATAAACTAATTCACAAAAGGATTAATATTTCTTGATAGACTTTCGTATAAGCGCTAGTCTTTGCTTATGCGCTTCGGTGACAGTAGCTCGTTTATATGGACGCACTTCATCTGTACCAAAACCGGGAATCCACATATTCCAATTTCTTTCTAAAAATTAAAATATCATAAATAGCATTTATATCTATATTCGTTTGGATAATTTATTTCACGAATAAAACGTTTCCAAGTTGTAATTGCTAAATTTTACGGTGCTGAAAGTTTATGTCTGTGATTCAATGGAGCATACGCAAGTAAATACAAACACGCAATATCTGCCTCTTGATTTTTGATTTGGATAAACTCTAATATTAGATTACAAGTCTTTCAGGGAGTAAATAAAAAACAATTTAAAGTATTATTAAAAATAATGTTTTGCTATTACCGACGAGATACTATTGAAGACCGACATTCTTATGAGAGTTGTGTGTGTGTGTGTGTGTGTGCGTGCGTATGTTGAAATTTAAACAATTATTTAATTTAATAATATATAATATTAATTTTATGATTACTAAACTAATTTTTTAAACATGTACATATACATATTTACAATTTGCTAATAGTTAATTTTATTTAAATTTTATTTAATTTTAATATTACATAGTTACTATCCATGTTTGTTTATCCATGAAAATGACAGTAGAAGAAGAAATTGTAATTTTCCAGCAATATATCATGTTACAGTGTTATATAAATATGTATATATATGCTTATTTATAAAGCATTTGTATAATAAAAAATCATTATATCATCATATTTAAATAATGCACTATTCAAATATTTATATTAACAATTATAAATTTATATCAATGGTCAATAATATCGATACTCTTCTTCAGTTACATCTGGATAATTGAAAAGCTAGCTCTTATTTTGATGACAATTTGCTCAGGATTGACACGCGGTCCTTATATAGTTTAGTATCTCGTTTTTAATAATATCTTGCTATTACTCACAGGAAATTCTTTTAATAAATTAACCTCATTTTTTGTGTAAATAAAAGAAATTATAGCTATTAGCATAACTCACCTAAATGTAACTGTACATCTTTAACTTCTACCGTGTTGGCATGACGATGCTTAGCTAATAGACAAGCTGCGTTTACCGTTGTTTCCACAAAGTCATCCGCTAATTGTAAAAGCATCTCTTCCACCTCCTCATCTAATTGTTCGGTAGGATCTACTTCCCTCACCAAGTCTTGTAGCCTTGTTTTTGTTAAAAACTAAAATCAAATAGCATAGTAATATCTATGGCATAGTAATATCTATGGTTAATTGGCGAATACTGTAGCAAAGAATAAAGTCAACGAATATATATATATATATATATATATATAGAGAGAGAGAGAGAGAGAGAGATATAGCAAATTATATCGCGTAAAATAAATAATGTTTATAGACTCGTCAGAGATATTATATTTGTAAACAATGGTCATAATTATACACAAGTAAGCAAGTATCATAATTTTCTCATTGATTACGTACTTGTGGAAAATCGCTAAAAGAACTTGGAGTGGATGATTGCACTGGTTTCGGAGGCTGGGGAACATACTGAGTTTGTTGAGATTGCGTTTGTGGCTGTACAGCGGTTGTGGTAGTGCCACCGCTTTGCACGTTAGACAAAACTGGTGACGTCTGATTATTAGGTCCCACGGACTGTAGAGTTCCAAGCACGGGTGTCATTTCCGAGCCCGTTGTAGTCGTCGTTGTTGTCGTTGTCGTTGTTGTCTGCACGATAGCACTTTGTTGTGACATTTCGAGAGAAGCGATGCAAGTCGTTGGATCTTCAACGATCTCCTACTCCGCTTTCCGCTGCTAGCTGCTACCGTTCCGCGTTCACGTAATTTTGAGGCGAGCAATCCTTTATCGCACTCTTGACTTGACGCGCGTTAACACGTGCGTGAAGAAAAGGAATTATTTAACATATATTTATTATTTGTGAAAGAAAAATTACAACGACAGAATATTAGACACTGTCAAGTAAAATGTAAATATCAACAAACAGCATTCTACTAATCCATAAACTATATAGTATAACTATACGGACGATATTACACGATGTCGATAGCAATTAGGAGCGCGGACGACTACAGAGATCTGCAACGATTGAAAAGATAATAGAGTGCAGTGTAGTGTTCTGTAATAATTCCACGTTGGTAACAACGAAAATATAACATCAAGATTTATTATTTATTACAACATTTACAACTACTGCACGCTTACAATTAGTATAATTTTGCATCTTTCTCTTAATTCGCTAGAGCATCGCATTGATAGAAAAGTTTCGTCAACAAATTAATTATTTTTCGGGTTATTTATAATTTATATCAATATAGTCGATAACATCGGGAATCTTTAATTACCTCCCGATCTCTCTTTGACAAATATATAATTAGTCATGAAAATTTTGATTGGCGGTTTTTAATAATATCTCGTTGGTGATACTGTGATAGTAGATACATACATACATATGTATATATTTTGGCATAATCGGTCAAAATGTCAAATCACATATGCATACATACGCGGGGCGGAGCGGCCACCCCGCCACCTGCAGCCAGTAGCCTGCACCACAAATTCGTTGGACGCCTCCTGTCGTGAACTTTAGGTACTTTGTATCGTCTAAGCGTGACATTACCAAACGAGCTTCAGTCTCTCTTGTCTCTCTTCCCAAGTTCCGTCAGTTCCGAGAGTGCTAGATACGTCTGTTCTGTGGTCGAGTGTCGAGCGTGGCGAACGTGGTCGAGCGTGTCGAGCTGAGCTGTCTCGACTCCCGGTTGATGCTTGTTAGTAGTACTGGGTAACATTTGCAGAGTTGATCGTGCTTGGTGCTAATTGTAAGCAGTGCTACCGTGGTCCACCTATCGTGGTCGCGGGTTGTGATATGTCATATCGTTCACATCGTTGCGCCTACCATCAAGTCGTCCCGGGTGTGTTTATGACAACGTGAGAGAGATCGCTCGTTTCGCCGTCCGTGCGCTAATCGATGCAGCGCGTCCGTATTGCGTCAGTCTTGGAGGTCTTCCATCGAGATTTCGCGGCACGTTTATGATGTAGACATCCCTTGAGACATCCCGCACAAGGCGAGCCTCGGGAAATAGTTGAAACAGACGTTTGCTCGTGCGTAAGTACGACACGTGTCGCCAAACAGTCTTGCGTTCGAGGGACGACCCTCGCTCTCTCTCTCTCTCTCTTTTCTCTTTTCCGTCGTCCATCTATCCCCGGTTTATCCTACTCTTTCCTTTCCTCTCGCAACGCAACGCAACGCAACGCAACAACCGCGTGTCTCGTTATTCTCATTTTCGTTTCTTGCTATGTATGTACATACATACATACGGCTGATACGGCTGGCAGAGCCGGTGCAGGTGCAGCGTTCGACCGGTGCATAATAAGTGTGATACGATCAGCGTCAAATGCGTCAATCAGCATCGCGGCATTCGCGGCGCGGCGCGGTTAGTTATGTCGCGTACGCTTAAGGAAACGTGTTCCTGACGCCAGCCACAGAGGGTAATTTTCGTCACCCATTTGCTCATACCTTCTGCATCTCCACGCACACACACACACACACACACACACACACACACACACACACACACACACACACACACACACACACACACACACTGGCGTGCGTCCTTTCTTCTACAAAGCCGATTACGTCCGATGATAAAATTACATTGATTTTCTGTCTCGCGTGAGCTGTTGGAACGCTCATCATCACCAACTGCGGACTTCTCGCCTCGCGGCTCGCCTTGCGAATGCAGCACAATTCTATCTTCTCTAACGCGTTAAGAATCCTATCAGATTACATTTCGGTACTTATATTATCAAATCGACATCGTGGCAGATGCGTTACGCGATCAAACTGATGGCCATTGATTCAAAGACTTTCTCAAAGATACGTCGTCTTTTTACATACAGATGGCAATTTCAACAGGAATCTTTAGATCTTGAAACATTGCTAACACACGAAAAATACCTAAATAAACGATCAAAAAAATGTCAAGTGCACACACGTTTATCATACTCGACGTGTGTGTATAGATGTGTATGTGGGAAAACACTAAAGATATTATGTGACATTAGTTACGTTGTACAAATGTCCTCCGATCAAGTTCCAAGTATAGAAACCCAAGCTATAGCTGAGAAATGTAACCGCGAAACGAATGGACGCGAGAATGAAGCGCGAGAAAAGCAGGGAAAAGAAAGCAGGCGGCAGGCGTTATCTCCAGATCGAATTATCGTGTAGCAGCTGCGGTATTTGTGGCGATCGTAGCTTGTGACTCCAAGCTCGTGATAGCTCGTGCACCTTGCAGGAAGCGCAGCGACATGTTCGCGTTAACTCTTTTGCCGACTTGCCGCGTGAAAGGCGCTTTCTATCCGCGATTCGCGACCCGTCGCGTCGTCGCGATCCATGTTCGACATATCTGATATCGAGAGAGGACCAATTTCACGTCCCAAATTTGCAACTTGCCCAAAATCTCAAAAGAGATGAGAATATTTTATCTGTACTGACTGTACTAAATATATTAAAGACTTTTATAGCGTATCTATGAGCAAATCGATTCTCGTTGCGCTGATATTCCTCATTTCTTTCAACCCGTTTCGAAACCCGTGGCGATCGCCACGACTAATTGCGTAACGACCGCGTTTAATTTATCGTTAGATCTTGCCGTCGAAAAATATCGCGATTACTCATACACAGGTGTGGACAGTACTGTACGTGCGTATGCGCCGCGGTAACGTTTGATTATATAGCGTCAAGTTCGCATCGCGTACGCAGCGTCATTTCCTCGCGTCTACATCCAGCGAGCTGCTCTCCTCCTTTTTATCTCTCTGTGTTTTATCCTCGAATTATTTTATTTTAAAATAACATACGTCTCGAGATATGTTCAACTGTCGAGTTACTTATCGATATTAGAAATTGCGATTTGTATGAATCAAATATGAAGAAAAATGCGTAAGAAGCGCGCGTTGACCTTTAGAGATGAGTATACGATAGCACGCACTCCTATGTTTGGCAGAAAATTTAGCGTATGCGTTTGGATCTGTCTCCCCTTTCTTCATCTCGTGCTCTCGCATATCCTGACAGATGCAGGGAACGTTGCGCTACCTACGTAATAGTGCGGGAGGATTTCTTCGATCGAACCGTGTTCGATCAAAGAGTAGAGTTAACGCGACTTGGAGATTCCGATCGAACGAAATTTAAGTACTTTTGACTCTTGAATAGCAGGCCGGTCGGTTTGTATCTTTCGGCGAGTACCTACATTTTGCGTGTGACATTTCTACTATTATTACTGCTGCTGCTGCTGCTGCTGCTGCATGCTACTACTGTTCGCGGCCAGGTTTCAAGGTCACGTCACTGTCTCATCGTTTAAGTGAAATATTCGATGTACGGAGAGACAAGACAGAGCAAGTAAATATGTTTAAATAATTAAGTCATTGATTCTAACTGCGCTCGCGATATAACGAAAAGCGATCATATCGTGGTTGGTTATTTTTCTGGCAAGATGATTTTGAATATGAAGATAACGTACATATGTTTGTTGCCCGATGTCCGATATTTGATATTCATCCTTATATATTTATATTCATATTCTTGATATTCGATAGGCGTATAAAACTTGTGTTCCAGCTACCTGCAACTAGGATGTATAATTCTTGGTAGCAGTTTAGCCTTTAGCCGCAATAGACATTTTCAATGTCGTATACGTATGCCATAACTGTAATATTGTTGTATCTTGCCGTTTTTCGAGGAATCGGTGAAAACTATCGTTATCGGTATCGGTGGTATCGCAACTGGATGTCAGGAGGGCTAGGCAGGAGTTTTACATGGATAAATTTTAAACGTCATACGCGTAACGCGAGTACCTCGATCGACGCGGAAGTGTCGAAAGGGACGGGTGATTCAAACAGATCCGTGATCATTATTTTAGCATCTCTCGTCTTATGTTAGAAAGTACGAAACACGAATCTGATTTCTTTTTCCTTTTTTCCTTTTTTCCGAATCGAATACGAGGAAGCACTCCTGCAACAGCTAACTTCGATTGCGTTACAATGTACCGACTAATGTCACACGACGTTGTGCTCCTGCACGATTGTGTAGAATACTCAATACACTGTACAACATTATGTAGAATTGCCGTTATAACGCGCGTAATATGCCAGGGGTGTAGCGTATAGGTATGCGACATACGATATCTTATACACATTACGTGGCGATATGCAGAGCCGAAGTGATCAACGCGACGTGGATTCGTCGCATTCGATATCACACAAGTGCAGACACAAGTACATACAACTATGCAGCGCAATAGATATGCGTTGACTCACGATCGCTGTACCTCGAGATATGCTTTACGCTTTCAAACCGTTTTAAACTGCGTCCCTGCATTTTCGTTTCTCGAAATCACTATCGTTTTCCAAGTTTTATTTCAACATCATTTTGTCAACATTATCATATCGATAGTAAACGATGCGATGCGCTCGATTAAAAACGTGCATTCGTCGAGATTATATACACATACCTTGTTAAGACTGATAAGTTTCCGTGATAATATAACGGTGGACGACACTAGAGAGCTAATCGATAGCACATTCTTTCAATGTTGATTTTATATACGGTTTTATTTTTCAAATTACGAAATTTGAAAGATAGGAATCTGTAAAAACTTGTAAAGATACTTGATTACCGATATTTTCCAACGAAAACATTCGTCTTCTTACAGTTTTAGTTTTTATGTAGGTTTACAAGAAAAAAAAAAGAAAAAAAAAGAAAAATATCAAGTCTTTATAACCATGACTCAAACTTTTGATTACAGATTTAAAAAGTGTTTCAACACAAGCAAAAATTCCAAAATTCTTCCAATCATGCCGATGGAATTTTTGGAGCGGTTACCGGTTCCGAATCTTCGAGTGTATACCGCCATAAGCTTCACCATACTTTCCTGTTCTATATACTATGCCACTCAAATAATCAAGGATCCTGCTTGGCGAACGAATCACACGCACGTCGATGTCGGAGGCCATTCTGGAGGCACCATCGATCCAACTGATCCGAGAAGTCTTGGCACGCATCTTAAAGAACTCTTGGAATGTATGGTGGTGGAACCTGTCTGTGTCTGGGTATGTTTATTATATGAAACAAAGTAAATGAATGTAAAAATGTATTGTAGTTAGAGGAGATCCTATAATAGTATAATACGTTCCTAAATAAAAGCTTTGTGCGTATTTAATCCTTTCGATATCGTTGTCATATCTAGCTATTGAGTTTTCTATTATATATTTTAAAAACTTGTTGACATTGTCCCTTTGAAATGTGTACGCTTGTAGACTGTATGAACGTAAGTAAACAGTGTAAAGTTTCGCGATTCTGTTTTCTTGTTTAGCCAATAGAATGGCCATTTGTCTCTTTGTTAAGCGAGAAAAAAAAACGATAATGAATGAGTGATTGAATATAAATGACAACTGATAAATTGGACCAAGATTCACGTTACGTATTGTTTAATAACAATTTTACATCGATGTAATATCTGTTTTAATTTTTGATCGCGATCAGGGCAAATGACATAAATGGTCCCGATTACGTGATATTTGTACAAAATATAAATTTTTCTAGCAGCGAATTAATGTCCGTCGATTTTCATCAGGTAGTCGAACGCGGTAGAACGCGCTACTTTCCTCCCTTGTGACATTACGTGTTTCGTTACAATTGTGTCGTGTACGACGACAATTACGCAACTATATATCGCGTGTTTATGTCTGGCTCTCTCTATTATTCCTTCCTAACTATAATATCCCAAGTTGATTTTTGCGTTACGCTACATTCATATGCTATTTACGTTAGGAAACTCAAATTCCTTATCCGCATTCGTGTTGCATAAGTATTATTTTGCGTTAATTTGCACATTTGCGTTACAAGTAATATAATAGAGAAAAAGTTGCGTTTCTTTTTTTTTCTTTCCACATAATTGTTCTTTAAAATTGCAATTTTTTTTAAATTACTGTATCTGTTATCAAATTATAAAATTATTCACACAAATTTAGTAATTACAAGCGGAAACTTGTCATATTAACTTAAATTAGTTACTATAAATTACGATCAAACATTCTTTAATTATATTTATCGCTTAATTGTCAAATTATCCTTGCGAGGTAGGTAAAGGTATCAAAAGTGACCGACAATGCTTCACGTCCTCCCTCTCCCCCTCCCCATATTATTATTTCTTATTATTGCAATTAAATATTTTATGGAATTAAGAAACGATTTTGTTTCATCAACAAAATGAAATTATTGAAGATGTAAATGTTTAATTTTATTATTTTGTGCTACATAACGTTAAGAAGCAAAAAAATCATTGTTGCTATATTACGTAATTTTTTCCTTTTTCATTTCGTATGTACTTATATCAAAATTTTCCAGTGATTTACACCTCGGATAATTGCATTCACGTATTTCAGAATTGTTGGCGAGACATTGAAACGGAGAATGTTTGAGTCTAAAATTAGATGGCCTTTCTCAATTATTTGGCAACGATTAAGCAATACTTGTTTCAATGACTATCTGTCACCTGTTTAGAGTGCGCGTGCCGAAAAACATCTATTTCATTTTGTTTTTGAAACAAGATATAAAAAAAAAATAAACATAAGTTTGACTAAAATTCTAAAAAAATTCATAACTTATTTCTTGTAAATATAAAAATTTAGATTCGATCAACGTTAAAGAAGAAACATGTTGAATCAGATTTGTTATTTACGTTTTAATTAATAAATTTTTATCCTCCAAAAAGTTTTTAAATATACATATATTTAAAATTGTTATATCTTTCATGTAATAATACCTGTATATAAGTATTTTAACGAAGAAAAGAAAAAAAATCCATATACGGATGTTCTGTTAATATGTACTAATTACATTTTACTTTGAGTTTTCTGATTTCTCTAACAGGCTAATAAATTTCTACCATATGTTGCTTTATAATCCCTTATAATTTCTTTTTTTTATAATTTACAGACTTTAATCAACATGGCTTATTGCATGTTGATTCTTCTTGGCAAAACCATCCAAAAGCTTGTATTTGGTGAGCTACGTGCCTCAGAGAGCCAACATTTGAAAGACAAATTCTGGAATTTTATTTTTTATAAATTTATCTTCGTTTTTGGAGTTTTGAACGTACAATACATGGACGAAGTAGTACTCTGGTGGGCATGGTTTATGGCGCTCGGCTTCTTGAGTCTTCTTAGCCAACTTTGCAAAGATCGATTCGAATATGTGAGTATAACGAAGAGCAAAATATTATATATATATATATATATATATGCAAAAAATTGTAATTAATTTTGAAAATATAATAGAAATATCTTATATGACTTGCTGCTGTATAGATATATATTAATTTATAATAAACATGTGTTTTGGAAATGTTTTCTCATACTTAATAATTTACAAAGTATTATATGTTTCAAGAAATACAATATCTAATTCTTTGATTTTAGCTATCTTTTTCACCTACTACGCCAGGATGGAGTCACGCCCGACTTCTCGGATTGTTGACGGCGATTCTTGTGCTATCTTCCTTCATGCTTTTATTCTGTATCGCTGCAGCCTTTTTCTTCATATCTTTCAATACTTTTGCTTTTATGGCAGCTGAGGTAAGCAATAATCTAATAGGTCAATTATTTTTCGACATTAATTTTGCATATTTGCCAAAATTATTTAATTTCTAATTGTGTGTATGTATAAAATCTACGCAAGTTCCGCAAACTAAAATTTTTTGTTAATTCGAGAATTAATTTTTTAAATTAAGATTAAGAAAAATATAAAAATGTATTATATGCTACTTAAGAATATAATTGATCTTTATCTTGTAATAATTATATGTTTTGGTTCGTAGTGTATTCTACTCGGAGTCCGTACGATTCACGTGATGTTACGCTATGTGATTCATCTGTACGATACTCGTGGCGCCGGCACTTCATCGCAACGCTCTTGGGATAAGCGTGGTCCATTGACCTACTACACGGATTTAATTTCGGAATTGATTGTGCTAGCAGTCGACTTTTTTCATCATGTTCACATGCTTTTATGGAGTAACATCTTTTTGAGCATGGCATCGTTAGTGATATGTATGCAATTGAGATATCTGTTTTACGAGATACAACGGCGAATCACGAAACATAGAAACTATTTGGCTGTACTAAATCATATGGAGCAAAAGTACGTAATATGTATTTATTTTTAAGTTTTCATTTTTGACATAAATAATAATTGGCATAATAACATTTTATTGCAAGTTTGCATTTTATTCTAATTTTAGAGAATTATATAAAAATCCATAAACTCTTTTACAATCGCAATAAATTTATTATAAATTTTCAATAATTCTTTCGAAATAAAAACTTTCTTTTTCAGTTATCCAATGGCTTCACAAGATGAATTAGCCGAGAACTCTGATAACTGTGCGATTTGCTGGGAAAAGATGGAAAGTGCTCGTAAATTACCTTGTACGCACTTGTTTCACAATTCATGCTTACAATCCTGGTTAGAACAGGATACATCATGTCCCACTTGTCGATTGGCTTTGAGTATGCAAGCAAATCACAGAGAAAGCACTCCAGAGATGCCACCCGAGCCACAGACCCCTACGAGAAGAAACGGTAACCATTTTTTCCTTTTTCTCGATGCATCGAGATACGTGTCTTGGTTGCCCAGTTTTTCCGTCGAGGTCTCACACAACAGAGTACGTGGTAACATAACTACATTGGTACATACTAATTCCCAGATGGATGCTATGGCGAGACAGGTAATACTATGAATATATATATATATATATATATATACATGTATAAATTTTATTTTAACAAATATCTTTATTAGGTACAATTACTTTTTCCCCGTTATTCTCGTAATAAATTTCATTTTAACAAATATCTTTATTAGGTACAACTACTTTTTCCCCATTATTCTCGCAATGTAATCCTAGAGGATCTTAGAATGACTCGATCAGTTGAATGGACAATTGAGAATATACTCGATGGGGTATTAACTATACCACATCATTTAATTGAAGAACCGCAAGAAGAATCCGTCCCACAAATACAAACAAACATGATTATGCCCAGCTCTTCGATCCAAAATTCATCGGATCCTAGATTCGATATTCCTTTTGCTGACAGGTAAAGATAATTTGAAATATTAAGGATATGAGGCATATGAGGCATAGAAGCCGCATTGTATTTATTAGTTCTTGAACATCAAGAAACAAAAAATTAATAAAATCAACTCATTAAGAACCTGAAACCTGTTTCTCAACCGCATCGAGATGAGAAACTTTTTGTGATATTGCTTGCAATCTAGGACATTATTTTTTATGGGGTAAGCAGTCTGAATGTATTATTTTTTTTAGTGGAGAAGAACCTTCAAGCCTTGGTGGTCGTTTCTCGAAATCATCTACTGAGAGAGAACTTATACTTCAACGACGAAAAGAGCATATGCGATTAACAGCACGCAGAAGGTATTTGGAAAAACATCGGAAATCCGAGATTGATTCGATAAATTCGCAGATAACGAATACTGAAAATGTTGAAAATACTACATCTTAGACATAAGCAAAGATAAGACCGATTACGATTTTGAATTCAAATTACGCAGAGCTTCATTGTTGACATAAAATTGATAGGCTGTACGTTTTCTTTTTCTTTGGATACGAGACAAGATCGTGGAACATACAACGCGGTGCATACTTTTTGCTGATGACTAATTATTAAATAGCAAGAACTATCGAAAGACCTCTTTGTGTATTTAACAGTCAGAGTACTCTTAACCTTTGAAAAACAGAAAATTAAAGTCACACAGTCAAGCCACACATAGATTAGGCGCAACATTAAGAATATCGAGAGGTTGTGAACGATATACTCATGAACGATTAGTATTGAACTAATTACTCAACGTTATCAAGTTATGATGAAAGCTACAATGAGACGATTAAATTATAATAGAAAATATTAAGATTTTTACGTAATTTAATTAAATATCATGCTAATAGTAAAACATTAAATTTCTATAGCGATATGTAATACATGTGTTTTTGGGAAAAAAAATTATTGGAGAATAACCTCATCGGTTTTCGAAAAAGCCTAAGCTGCATTGTCCACTTTCTAACAGATTAAAATATTGTTTTAAATCTTTCTATTTTCCTTATATATCTTGTATAATTTGTAAAACAATATATAAATTTATGAATAATTAGAGAGAGAGAGAGAGAGAGAGATAGAGGTGGGAGAGAGAGGGAGGGAGGGAGGGGAGAGAGAGAGAGAGAGAGAGAGAGAGTTTCTGGTTATAATAGGTTATAATAATAACTAAATGTGTTAATTTAATGTATGTATTTAGTGCCATAAATAAATTGAAGTGACACGTGCCAATTCAATGAGCATGGATTTAGTTGCTCATTAAAGCTTTAATAGCTATTTCTAAAAAAGAATAAATGCATGGAGATATATATATTGGACATGTGTGCATAAAAGTATACTGACTAGCAATATGCACACAGTGATCGGTGATTTATCCAGAATAAAGAATATAAATTGCAAGATTCTTGATTCGAAGATATAACCAGTCATGCTATGTTTGTGCCTGCAAACAAGTGTTTAAGATACATACGTGCTCTTCATTGTCTATTAAAAATTTAATTTTTTTTCAAATTTTTGATTTGTCATATATTTAGGCAACACAGATGCGTATATATTTTTGAATACGTCCAGGGAACATTTGTTCTGTTTTACAATGTACATTAGTTATTAATATTACATTTCGAGAATTGATAATCTTATAAAATAAACTTGTTTTGCACAAGTACGAAGATTAGAGTAACAAGTTGTAAATCTTGTATATAACTTAGTTTCGTATGTAATGTGCAAAGGTTCGGAAGGTTATCATCACTTTTGATGAGGAATTGTTTTTTGCAGTATTTAATGACATCGGATATATACGTTGAAAATTTTATAGAATTTAGATCTGTATACTACTGACATACGATAATAATGACGTATATTTACGAATAAACAATTGGTACTAAGTTTTTTGTTGCATATTAAAAATTTAATTGATCAAAATTATATATATATATATATAGAATGTGTGTGTGTGTGTGTGTGTGTGTGTGTGTGTGTGTGTGTGTGTGTGTGTGTGTGTGTGTGTGTGTGTGTGTGCGCGCGCGCGCGCGTGTGCGTGTGTGTGTGTGCGTGTGCATGTGTGTGGTGTATTTTTATTTTTAGCGACGTGCGAAAAATAATTCACTTCAATACAAATAAAATCTACAGTTGCATACTTTATGCTATCATGAGAGTTCAATGGGATAGTAAGTTTATTGTAAATCTTTATAAACTCTTCCGAGCCTTTCATAATAAGTTACGTTCATTATACTTGAATATATAGTTATATTTCTAATTATAATATTTACATTAAAAATTTTAGTTTAATGAAAATTTTTTATATTTTATGATTTATTATTTATTTTAATACTAATACAATCAGCATATACATTGTGTGCGTGCGTGTGTGTGTGTGTGTGCGTGCGTGCGTGCGTGCGTGTGTGTAATATAAATTTAATAATAAAATTCGCACCTTTCAGTTTCCCTAACTTGTGATAAAATTTGACATAAATATTTACCTAAATTTACGTACACAAATATACAATACACATTAGAAAAAACCGTAGAATATAAATATATACAGGATGTGCCAGAATTCGCAACTGCAAGTTAATAACAGATTCTTTAATTGTGGATTTAAAATCGAGTCATTTTTTTTTTAATTTTTCAGCATTGTATATCTTTGTAAAATCTTAAATTAAAATGTTATCAGAATCTACTTGAAATTAATTGAAGAATATGATTGTATATATATTTTTGCTCTACAGTAAATCGTAGCTTGTAAAGAATTTCTAGAGTAATGATTCGTAATTTGGATACTATTATAGAGATATCTCCAAGTGTTTTTGCTGAGAAAAAAATATCAACTTTAAATTCATCGGAAAATATTGATCAAAATATAAATATGTATTTGTTTTCATTAGAATTAAGTCAATCATGGGACATCCTGTATTATGATACATTATTTACTACTGCATCTAAGAGATGAGAAAAATTTATTTTACTAATGATGCCGACATACATCGTTGTATTAAAACTTTGTAAGTAGCTTTATTTACATCGAATCATTTATATATTTTTTATGGATCTCTAAGTTGCATATAAATAGATAATAAGTGATGAAACATAAGGTAATTTTTATTTGAGGCAACTTTCTGCGACTGGCGCAAAATTTACTGTTTCCATTGTAGCTATCGTTAATAGTAGTATTAGTAATAGTTATATTTTCAAAACATTTAAGTTCTTACGTTTCGTAGGCAAATCTAAATTGAATTTATCAGAATAAGAAATTAAAATTTTTAATGTTTTTGTTAATTGCCTCTATGTGTAAATAAAATATATGCATGAAAATATATGAATATTTTCATATAAATGAGAAAGAGCTTTATTAAATTATATTGTTTTTGAGAAACATAATATCTGGCTAGTTTGGCGAGTTAAAAGGATAGTCTAACGCTTTCCTGAAACTTTCGAAGTTGTAACTTTATATAATACAGTACTTTTCTCCTTAGAACCTTTGTAAATATGAGCATGAGGTGTCCTACGTCTCTTCTATTATAGTAATGTAATATCTATTCCACACTTGTGACATTGTACAACTAGTAAGATAAATAAAATGCATTATAGATTGTTGTAGTTATATTGCTTACTTTTATCTTACACGACTATGTAAAAGTTCCTGTGCACTATCAATTTATCTTGAATTTGTAAAATTATTATATGACACACTAGAATAATTATATTAATACTTGTGAAATTACATAAGGAAATGATTGTATACTTTTTTGGTTTTTTTAAAAAGAATCTTACATATATCACGCCGATCATTATTACAGAAATAGTAATATATGCTCAATATATAGATATTATATAACGTGTTAAATGATACAATTTTACATCAATATAGATACCGATGTATATTCAAAGTAATTTTATGTTGCATAAAATATTTCTGCAATAAATATTTTTGACCTTTAGTTTTTAATACATAACAAAATGAGACTTACAAATTTATAAATCACTTATTTTTGACTAGAATTAAGAACTGGAGTAATTCGATACTATTAATTTTCTATATTGCAAAAAAAGGGGAGAAACAAAGACGAAAATGGGATAATTATTTTTATAAATTATATTAATCAATTACAAGATATTCAAATGGAAATTAGAAAGTAACAATAGAAAAACATACATCAGATACAATTTATTTTTGAAAATAAATGCAGTTTGCGACATTGCAAAAGACATAGTTGACTTATTATATATTGCAGGTGCACATCTTATCCAATGAAATTCATTATAACAATGTGTAAAATAATATGTGCAAAAATGAAGTCTGCAAATCCTCTTTCCGGGCTTATACCGTGAAATTGACTTCTATTTTGTGGATTAACTTGTAATCGAAGACAAACTGAAAAAGAAAATATGAAATCATCAATCCTCATGTATGTAATCTTATGAAACTTATAACGAAACGTATAAAATGGATTGAGTGAGAGAGAGAGAGAGAGAGAGAGAGAGAGAGAGAGAAAGAGAGAGAGAGATGGTAACTTCAATATAATTGTTTCGAGACATGAAATAAAGAATTAAATTGGTGTACTGAGAGAAATTCGTATCAATTATACAATGAAATGCACAATAAAGTGGCAAAAAAGAGAATTTCTAAGCATATATCTGTATTTGTATGTATACAATATCGGTACGCATGTTAAAAAAATAGTCGGCGAATGATAATATAACCGTAGAAAGAAAACGAATAAGTGATGTACATGCGTAACGAATAACGTTATAATTACCTCCTAGAATGAAGCAAGATACACAGGATATGAAACCACTGAGGAAACTATTGAAGGGAAAGGTGCCGACGAGACAACAATACACGAACTGGATAACACCCGTTAGAAATACGTACAATAAGTACGAATCGATAATTTTCAGTTTCTTGGGTGTATTTTTCGTGTACTCCGATCCAAATTTATATAGCACCGTCAACGCCGTCATGTTTATCGATCTTGATGCAAAATGTTACAAGACAGGAAATTAAGTTTAAAGATTTCTCGCATATACACGCGTGGCAAGCACAGTCAGTTCGATGTGACACGTATTGCACGTATACCTTTTATACCTCTCGCCATCACCCCAATCACCCCCGATTCATGGCGTCAACATAACCACGGCAAAACGAACAATCATAAAGGAATGAAAGCAAGCAGATCGGCAAACTTGAAACAAATTTCTAACCAAATTTCCGCGAGCATTATATAGAGAATTTATCCTAGCTACGTTCACTTTTTGTCCATTCGATGACCAATGAAGTTGGAAATTTCTAGAAAATACAGTTTCTTATTGGACGGCGAAACGTCGCTATCCCCTCCCTCTGCGCCACCAATAAGGAAGATCGAAGTGCTGAGTGCTGACCAGTGCTGACACCGCCTCTGACACTGCTGACACTGACACTGACACTGCTCCGACGATAAAATATATCTACCTCTGTATCACTCCGTATGCTTCGTAGTTCACATGTAGCACGCGTATTTCGCAGCTCGCACTTAATTGTCAGGGTCGAATCCGTTCCATTTCATACATGATGTATGTACATACATCATTTTATATATGATCCTTGAACTATTCCCATTGAATGTTAAACAAAAATCAAACGATACATCATGCGTATCATGCATGCGAAACGGAACGTATGCCTATGTGTACCTAAAGTTAATTGCTTCGGAAAGTGATGCAGTTGCAGTTTACGAATATCGTTTTAACATCGTTTATCGTGTTTGTCGTTTGCCGGGTACGTGATATACGAATAAGAATTTCTATTGTTACATTTTAAATTCATCTCCATCAAAATTATAAGATGGAAGGTGGTTTAGAAATGATCAAGCGTCTATATAATATAACGTATAATATATATAATTAATTTCGCAGCAGCTAGTATTCTTTGAGCGAATACCTCTTCTTATTTATATTTATTGTAATTATACGTACAATTTTATTTAAAACATCAATAACTGCAATGTTAGTGAATTAATTTTGTTATTAATTAAATTTCTTCGTGAGCTTATTTAAATTGATTTATTTTTATATTTAACATGCAACAAATGCTCTAATTTTTTTTAATTTCATATTTAGTTAACTTTTATCATTATATATATATATACACTATACTTGATCTTTATTTTTAAATATATGCATGCAGTATATCGTATTAACAATAAATATAATGTATCAGTATATAATATATATACATAAAATAAGGGGTGCAATAGGATCAAGTTGTATATTTATATATATATATGTGTTACATAGCATAGAAAATTAAGGCTCATGAGATCAGCTAATTAATAATCGATCAATGCGGCCAATTCTTGAAGAATGCTATATCTATATATATATATATATGTATATAATAATACAGTGTATGAATATACGTACAATAATAATTGCAACGTTACTCGCAGCGGCGCAATACCGATTAAGCGTCATACTTTTTGCTTGATATATAATATATATAATAATTTATTTCTTAATATACATACACATATAGTAGTTTATTTCTTATAAGCAGTATTTCAAGTTTTTATAATTACATTCTATGCTATAATTTTACGCCGCATAGAATAAGCTACAATATAGTCTTTTTATCCAGAGTCTCTTTTCTTCAAAGAGTAAAAATGGATTATTAAATAAATCAAATTAAAGTTTCCACCGTTTTCATCACCGTGTATCTACACGTGTGCTATGTAGATTTATTCGTTAAAAATATCGTAATTTCCTTCTTCTCTAGACAAAATTTCAGCAACTGACAAAATCGATTTATTATCGTTTCGAGTTGTTTTCACGACCAAAAACAACATCCTTCCTTTCCTCTCTTCGACGTAAATTTTAAAACAGCTAGCTTGTTTCTCAATTTTGAACACAAGAGAAGAATTAATTGTCGATATCTTTTACAGAAAACTCATCCACGCAATAATATCGTGAACGATAAATTCTTATATACGTATATCATTTCTCTATACACGAATCGTCTGTCGGTTCTCTCCGTGCAATGCGCAATGGTGCAATCTCATTCACAAGTTCCGGGGGTCCAGTTTACTAGGACGGACGTTGTTAAACATTGTCAGCGCGATCGACAATGTCCGCAAATCGGCACGGGAACGCGGCTTGTAATCGCGGTGCTTGTTCGATCGCCGGCGCGGCGCGGCGGGGCGGCGGTACCGCACGGTACGCGACGGCTTCGTCTTATAAATTATTGCGGCTTCTCGACTCCGCGGGTTACGAAGGGTCCTTCAGACGATCGTTGCTACCTTGGAGCACAACCTGACGAGTGGTGTCCTGACAAGCAGCCTGTTGCGTGACCCGAGCGATCAATATCTGTGCGAGCGCAACACCCGCAACTGCTCCTCGTATCTTCGTATAAACTGACGCGCCTCCTCTCGTTCTCGTATGCCGCGCCGCGCCACGCTGCGTTTCCTTTTCTCTCAGTTTAATCTTTTCCGGCTTGAAGAAAGTCACCCCGCGCGCGCGGTAACATACCGTTTCATGTTACACGTACACGCCAAGCTGGTAGTGACGAGAAAATAAGCCGTGCGCGCGAATACTCGAGCATTTTTGTAGCGATATTCGACTCCAATCGAAATTGTGTGTCGGTGCGTGAGATGTGTGAGACAAAACTGTTGATACGCGTACCCTACTTGAATCCTCATTCAAATTTTGTGTAAACGTTTCCTTTGAATAAAAGAGCAGAAAAATGATAAAGAACATTTGGGGCGGAAAAAGCTTTACAGACTCGTCAAGATTTTATATTAAAACCATCTGAGATTTTCTTTTACCCAGGCATTTTATAATTAAATCGAGTGAATTTTCTATAGCGGTAATTTAATTGGAGATATCACTAGATTTATATCTATCACGACTAATCCTTTCGAATCAAATTATATCTAATTAATGAGTGAATTGTTTCATTCATCAGTCAATTCTTTCTCTTTCATCATAGAATATAGAGTAATTGAATTCCGATCTATATTTTTATAAAAACTATTGAATAATATTAAAAATATGTAAGAAATTTATATTGCCAAGAAAATTACTAATGAATATAGATATAGGAATAAAAATGTCTAAAAATGTAAAATTATTCACTTTGTACGTCATAGCATGCAACTTAAAAACAGTTTTCCTATCAACGAAAATTTTTTTCATAAAGTTGAATTTAAATAGAATGGTAGTTTTGCTGTTTTGCTGTTCACTTGTATCGTGCTTCCGAGCTCTCTGTTTAATCTCTTTCTTGTCAGAGTTCAAGAAGTTTCAGGAGTTTGAGAAGAGTGTCCTCTTCATTTTATGTGTAAAGTACATAGATAGGTATACTTTATCTTGATGAAAAAAAGAGGATAAAAAGTGTTTCGGTAAGAATATTTTATCAAATACAAAGCAACATTGAGAGGAGAGAGAGAGAGAGAGAGAGAGAGAGAGAGAGAGAGAGAGAGAGTCGTGACACTCGCGCGTATATCTTTTTACTTAAACTTCGTTTAGTTATGCAATATTTTAACGAAGAAATATGGTGATATAGATGCTTGACGAAGCCCGTCTTTCGAAATTAACGATGGCGCTTATTGCGCGTCGCCACGCTCGTTAACGTCATTTGCGTAGTGAACACAAAGGGAGAGATAGCAGAGTTTCGAATATTAGATATTAAATTAATGTGTTTTCTTGATCAAATATAAATATACATATATTAGGAAAATTCTAAGCGGACACAACACATTCTCTTAATTTCTCTATTATGTATTACATAATACTTTAAATAGTAAATAAATGATACATTAAAAATTAACATATATACCTTATATTAATGGTAAATTTGATTTACGGATATGACATTTAAATATTGGATATATGTATTCAATTGCTATAAATGTTTAAGTTATTTGAATATAAAAGATTATATATTTATAAAAAAAAACTTCAATATATCCTTAATTAATAGATATTTCTTTTTTTGTTCTTTTATGTACGATTAGTAAGTATACATATATGGTACAATGTAAAGAATAGATATGATATATTATAAGGGATAATTATTAATGTAGTAATAGAAGTATTTTACAATTTTTAACATTTATAAAAATGCCGTTACTTTATATAACTTAAATATTTTCGGTTTGTAACTCGTACGCTTCCGATTTGTCGAGTAGATATATTTATAGACTTTAATCTATTATTTAAATGTCAAAAAAGAATTGGTCAATGCTAAATACATTTTGTGGGTCATGATGTATATTTAGCAAATTTATTTGTCACATTCGTTGCTCGTGCTCCGATTTACAGTGTTATTTATAACTTGACTCAAATGTCATCTGCGAAGGATGTCATTCAGTGAACTAATAGGGATACTGAACAATCGATTCTATGATTTCTCAGTTAATTTATGTACATATTTTGTTCAATATTAGATTTGAAAACACGAAATTTATTATCAATTAGATGTGAAATGTCAAAATAATAATAATATTAATTGTATCACGATATTATTACTTACTTTGAGTTTTCAAAGTTCACATAAGTTGTACAATTTTAGTCTTTTACAATTTAAAATCTGTTAGAGTACCCACATTTTAACACATTTTTGGACGCGAAAAATTAAAAAATCAAGAATTTATGAAAGAATTTGAAGGGATTACATCGGCAAAATAAAAAAATTGAAAGATACTTATTTATTCCAGTAAAAATTGTAATTTTTTTTTCTCAATATCTAATTTTATTCAGCATTTCGAGAGTTTAGAATAGTATCTAAATAGTCTAGAATAGTATCTCGAAATGTATAGCATCGTTCGAAATGAAAAAATTGGATCGATATGTTCTTAAAATTATTATGTAAAGTAAACTTTTAACATTATAAATCTGTTGAACAAATTTTTACGAAAGTTTTTATTTTCAATACGTTAATTTTGCCTTCTATATCATATCTGCGTTCCGTTGTATTTCATTTTGCATAGCGACAGGAGGATATTGTCCTAGTAGAGAGTCGTCGCTCGTATAGTCGTTGTTTAGGCAAATGATGGAGGCTGGGTTAAGCTGGCGGGGTTAAGAGAACGATCGTATCGAGCCAGTGAACGGCTCGCGCGGCCTTTATTCACGATGGCAATCCCGGGGAAAACCCTGGACTTTTAAGGGGTTGGTCTCT